AGTTGCCTTGGGAGCTGGGGAGGTTGCTGTCTCTGAGCAGATATTTGCCATTTCCTGCCTGGATGCAAAGCAGTACTTGAATCACATCTGCTACTTTCATACTTGAGGAACCATATTCTTTGCTGTGTAATCAGACATTAAATAAGACAAGCTATTATGTCTAAGAAGCAAAACCAAAAAGGTAAGCTTTAATATAGAGGTAGTATAACTAAGAAAAAGGACTATATAATATGTTGTTATCAAATATGGGAATTTAGTCAGTGTTAAGACATTCATCAAAGTCAGGGAGTTTTCTCTAATTGTTCTCTTATGTGTCTGTAAAGAAGAGAAATTCTGTTCACATCTTCCTAAATAGATATAAGATTACTTTTCTAAAATATAATCCTTCATCCCAAATCAAAGAAGGAATGTCTTCAACATTTGAAAAACATGCGACTTTCTAGTGTTAGGAATTTAAACTAATGGCAGACATGAAAATTCTAGTTTTGCTTCAGAACCATCAATACTAACAACTGCAAGACCTGCTATGGCAGAGAGTTGACTATTCCCTGTGCCTCATTTGAGAAATTACACCTCTCTCTAAGCAGAATTCCATCGCCTGAGAAATCAGTATCATTTTAAGAACTACTACTTCGATTAGATTAATAGGTACCACTTTGGTGGGGAAGTAGCAGTGTTCCATGCACTTTTGGCATATAGCCACGCTGGTCACATGAACCCGGAAAATGTCTTCAGACAACGCTGGCTCCCTTAGTCAAGAAACGAAGATGAGCACTTGCTCCCTAGAGTCGGACACAACTAGACAGGAAGCCTTTACCACCACACCCTTTTTTTTTTTAATTTTAGGAACAATAAATCTTATCAGAAACTGACATCTATATCTGCTTGTTAATATTAATTACAGATTGTATGAGAAGTATGTCTTGTCTGCAAAAACATTTTATTTTATTTTATTTTATGCAGGTTTTGCAAATGAAAATTGCTGGTGACTTTTCTTTCCTTGATAAGGCTAACATGTATTTTTCATTTCCCTGCCCTCTCTTGGATGCTACTGATAATATGTCAAGATTCAAGGTTCACTATGTATGTTTGAGTTAACATGACATTTGGACAGGTTTTAAAGATCAAAGCTAGTACTTTGAATTAGATTCAAACAATGACTAAGAGTCTATTAAGGCTTTTTTGAATATGTGGAAGATGTGTTTGCAGCATTTTGAGTTTAAAGTGGATTGTTTCAACTTTCCTGAAAGTGCCTTGATCTGAATCATTGGCATTCTTATTGACCAGTCCTATTGAATAACTTCCAGCTAAAATGGCTAGATTGAGATCAATTATAGATTCCAAAACTATAGCTGTTCCCGGGCTTCAGAAACATCCTAGGGCTGAGTATATGATTTGGTTGCTCCCACCTCTTCCCAAATTGGCATGAATTGGTTCCCCTCTAAAGTTTTTTGCAGCCATCTTTCCAAGAGGCTGCAGTGGAATAGGTTACAACTGGCTTCATGTCCAAAAATGTGCTCCCCCTTTTTTTTTCTTGCACATTAGTAAGGACATTTTTCTTTCAATGGTAGACATAGCTGACTGATTTTCAAATGCACAAGAGGTCTTTCTGCATACTAGGTTTATCTTGCAAAATCTTACAGTAAGATACTGATGTATCTTACAGAACTGTAGCTCATTTGAAGTATAGATCTGAAGTTGTATTCAGGTCCCTGAATTCCAATGGCTAGGAACAAATTGCTACGTTGGCTGTGTGCACTACTTCCAGCTGTAAATTGTTACACTATTCATCCTGTGGAAAAAAGATTTTTGGCTCTTCTAGACCAGACATTTGGTTCAAATTACTATTTCCAGTGTCCTTAAAGCTGAATTAGGGTTGAGTTAATAATCTGTGCTATAATGTTTAAAAACAGAACATATGAATTTATATTTTAATAATGTGTATTCTTAAGCTATCAGTGTATTAGCTCTGATTTGTATTGTTTAATTGCTTTATTTACTATTTATTTCTAATTGATTTTTTTCCCCACAGCACAAGTTGTATTGGGTTATAGGTGCAGAAATCCTAATTTTTATGAACCAGCAAAGATTTGGTCTTGTTTCAAATATATCTTTCAGGTAGAAACAGTCATCTTGCATACTGATGTAATTTCTAATGTTTCAATTCTGTATATTATTTGTGATGGGAAGCTGTAATAAGTCAGGTTTTCTTAGTGAAATTTTTCATATATACACTTAGTGAATGTTAATAACAAGTACTAGACATTGGTTGTAACTGTATGTAACTGAGTACTCTCTTGTTCATACATGCTCATTTTATTCTCTTTTGGGAAAACTATTGTGCAAATTGCAGAAAAGAAGTAAGAAATAGTAAACAAATAATGAGGCAATGTTAATTGCTTATTTTTGTATATAGACCATGTTCATTTGTGATCCCACATACATACTTTTTGTATTTTATTTCTACAAATTCATTCTATTTGCCCTGTTTTTTTTACCACTAAATTATAACTTGGAATTGTTCATTCTGATTCCCCCATCAAATACAATTAGTTTGGTTTTAAATACATATAAGTCCATACTCCACGTTGCATCATACAGTCTAACTGAAGGTTATTTAGGTTCTTGGCTAACAATTCAAAAATTATAAAGTTACACTTACGTTCCTAAGCAACCAACACACTTCTAGCATCGTGCACTGTCTTTAAATCAACAAATATGCAATAAATGTTCCCTCTTCTCAGCGACCAAAGAACAAATATATAATGTGTAATACACACTACCCTGACAGGAATTCCAAATTTTGCTTGTGATCAGAATCAGAATTCTACCCACATCTTTCCAGTTATATTTGAAGTTAATCCATCTCTAGTTTTCACATTTACTCTTTTTTTGACATTACACTATTTTTCTTTTAATTAGAAGAACAACAGTGGCATTTTTCCAATCATTGGGCACAGACTTATTCTCACACATGTTAAATAAATTACACAACACTCTATGAAAAAACTAAATCTGTACGTTTACATTTTTCCAGGCATGCAGCCTACATCTGCAACCTTACCATTTTTTAATAATTTCACAGTATTTATCCCTTTTCATATTTTTTCTTAGATGTTAACATTTTTAACCTACATTTACTGCTTTCAAAACTGCTCTGTATTTTCTCTGCTTCTTTTAAACATCTCTCTCTTATTCTCTGATGATAGAATAAGATTATTTGCAGCTTTTTTTTTTCTGTATATACATTTGTAATGGCAGGGCTGAGTCTAAACATTGGAACTCTTTCCTCTCAAAAACCCTCTGGATTTACACAATCTGGCCCCTTCTTCCTGCTTTGTAATAACTGCTTAGTAGTTACTGCTTATCTTCTCAGAGGACAGAAAAAGAGAATGTAGAAATTCCTTTTCAAATAGCCCCTTCCAAAACCGTTCCTGTTGGAGAAGAAAATACAGGGTTGCTCAAATCACATAAAGCATCTTAAAAGAAACTCCCATAGAACAATGTATGATTCAAAGTGAATCATAAGGATCTGCTGCTAATATAGAACCAGCTCTGATGTGAAGAAGTGGATAAAATAATGTACTAAGCATGTATAAAAAAACATAAATATCATAAACCACAAAGGATCAACTAGTAGGAAATAAACTAAAGAGTGTTGTCCTTAGTTAATTTTCCTCTATTCCTCTAGAGAATAGATTAGCCTTGGAACATATGTTATTCTTCAGTAATCCTGCTTCCTGCAAATTCTTAAATCTGAGGCTGGGGGAAGACAGTAAATCTCACTTGTTTCCAGCCTTTTGTCCAGCAACCTACGCTCAATTTCTAAAAGAATATTTTCCCCCCTAATTTATAAAAAGGATTAGGTTTGGGGGAGGGGCATCTCCATATATGCCATACCCTGTATGTTTGTGCTTGTGACAAAGATGGGGCTGATTTGAATATCTGAGCTGGCAGCTTTGACAGTAAAAGTGGGGACCAGGACTTGTCTACACATTGTTTACAACATTATACAACATCTTTCATTTTTATTTTTTGCAGCAATCATTCTCTTATAAACCTTTCTTTTCTTATCCATATACTCTGACCTCATCATGGCACCAAAACGCAGTAAGAAAGATGATAAAAATAATAGGGATAAAATACAGTATAAAAACGACACAGCAGCAGTAATCAAAACAGTTGTTGAACAACTGTTGGATTGCCAGATGGTCTGCAGAAGAGCTTGCTTGGTTTGTAGCATCTCCTGAAAGGTAATCAGTAATATGCAATATGTCCAGTGGAAGGCTGTTCCAAATAACTGATACTGCCGCTGAAAAACAGCATTTCTGGGCCTCAACCATTTGATATCCATCTGACATTCAGAGCCTTTCATTGCCTTTGTATCCTTCGCTAATTCTCTCAATCTTACAGCACAAACGATGAGACCAATCATTCTTTTAGATTTATGTTAATCTCTTTGCCATATGTGTATCTTAATAAACTTGTACTTAAACTACATACAGTATTCAGAAAAGACATTTAGTATACACATACCGTAATCTAGATGATACCAATTTGTATTCTCTGACATCTGTATTAGCCCTTTTATAATTAAACATAGATGTTTATTTCCAGTCATGTATTCATCACCTCCACAAGATCAGACCAGTTTCATTCTGATCTATTAATGCTTCCACTTTTTGTTAATGTGTATGCTTGTGATTTGTTCTGGCACAATACCTTTCTAATTTATGACATGTTTTAATGGTCTCTTAATTGTATTTTAATTTGTATTATTTTAGATTTTGAATGACTGTCTTGCTGTCTAATTTACATGCAATTGTGTTTTATAGTTTATATGAAGTTTTTATTTAATTCTATATCTTTTTATTCAGATTGTATTTTAGTGTATTTCATGATAAAAAATAGCTTCAGCTATTGGGCACTTCAATTAATAAAAATAAAAATTATATAGATATGTAGATATAAAACTAAAATGAATAGAGCATGCCCAAAACTTATACTTCAGTGTGTTTTCTACTACTTTATTCTCTCATTCTGTAAAATTTATATCCAGCCTTATTAAACATTTTCCAGAGACATATTTAACATTCTTTAAAATGTTAAGCCGCTTCTTAGTTAAAATAGGGTATTCTGCTTCATCCTGTTTCTCTTGCAAATTACCAGTATCTATCTTCATAATGTTCTTCTGTGATCTGTTTTAAAAAATACATGGGTTTACAATCTTCCCAAACACTTTCCGGTAATAATAGTAATTCAGGAGCTGCTAACCATTAGTGTCAGAATATGTTTTAATGTGTATATTACCATCCTGCAATTTTATTCAGATGAATTCATCTTGCTGCATCACAAATGTTTTAAAAGATGAATTAATTATAAGCTAATGTAGGGTACATTTTTCCCACGAGTTCTAAAAAAAGGGAGAGATTTACAATTTTGAAACTGATGTAATCCCAGACTGTCAATTTCTCTTTGGAATATGGTTCAGATTAAGTATCCTAAGTGGTAATCAAACATGTCTTGGCAGCTTTAATGCAAGAAAAGTGATTGATTTGGGACCAACCTGGAATCTACCAAGGACAGCAAAGTAGAAAATCCCTACCTTCATGATTAAGGTGAATTGGGTCTTTCACCAAATTAGGGAATGGTCCTTCCCTCCCTCTATTCCCTTCTGAAAATCCAATTAGCAAATGATTGGAATAACTTGGTAAATTGAGCAGAATCTTCTTGAACAGAAAGAGGAATTGAGTCTTAATCAGTTTGGTTCCAATAATACCACATGGACTGCTGTGATCCAGACACAATTGAATATTGGACCTTGATCCTGTTGACTTTTAGAAGGACATTAAAAACCTGATTGTTTCCTCAAGAATTGGAGCCAGGAAGATGAGGGTCTCTATCTGGAAGACAATAATAATTGTGAATTCCTGATTTCTTATCAAAGGTTGATTATTTAAATTGAATCCTTTTATCTACTCTACTTTATATAGGTTTATTATAAGCTGATTGTACCCTGTTTCCCCTAAAATAAGACATCCCCTGATAATAAGCCCAATCGGGCTTTTGAGTGCATGCACTAAAATAAGCCCCCCCCTTGAAAATAAGCCCTCCCTGAAAATATTTAAACACATGTGCAACCGGTCCCTGCCATTTCCTCTGGTTTCCTCCACGCACCCCAAAATAATAAGACCTCCCCGAAAATAAGACCAAGCACTTATTTCGGGGTTCAAAAAAATATAAGACAGGGTCTTATTTTCGGGAAAACACGGTAGCATCCAAATTGAGCAGCCATATATATGTTATAAGTAGATAAAGTGTTGACCAAGATCTCCCTGGGGGTCATTGCATGCATCAAATTATCTGTGTAATTCCAACTAAGCCTGGCACACCGGAAATTGTGAATGACTTCATTAGAACCATCTCTACACTAAAGCCATCTAGTAATGTTTATTTGGGACTGCTGCACAATATTCCTTCAGAAAGCGCTGTTCATTTCTACATCCAGACAAAGCATCTTTCAGATGGATTATGTTGCAAAAAATAATTGCCAACAAAGATTAGAAGCCCTCCAGAAGTAAGATCCCATTCCCAGGGAGAACCCTGGCATATCCCATATCAAAGACTGTGGCTTTGGTGTAGGCAAATCATACACTAGACTTATCTGTAAGTCAATTTTGACTTACAAAATTGACATTTTGTGAGCAGCAGATAAGGCATCCAGGCCATCACACACTGATGGGGCCCCTGATACTCTATTTATTCCACAATCAATAGTCTCCACTGCCCTGAAGACTTTTGTTTAAGGCTTTTAGTTTAGAAAAGTTGTAGACTACAAACGTTAGCTGTCATCTTGCCATCCTCAGCTAATGGAATTCCTTGTTAAAATGCATCATTTTTTTTTTTAGGCTGAAACATCTTGTTGCATTTTGTTTTCTCATTGTAAAAGAACCAAGACTAAATATTTAAAATAATTCAAGCCAAATGAGAGAGCCAGTTTGGTGCAGTAGTTAAGATGCTGGCCTAGAAACCAGGAAACTAGGTTTAGTTCCGTTCTAGGTATAAAAGCCAGCTGGGTGACTTTGGGCCAGTCACACTCTTAGCCCAACCCACCTCACAGGGCTTTTGTTGTGGGGAAAATAAGAGTAGGCAGGAATATTAGGTATGTTCTCCAACTTTTTTATAATAAAGGAAAGGCAGGATAATTTTTTTAAAAAAGATTACAAGTTACATGAGCAGAACAGGAATTTGAAGTGCCTAATTTAGTCTTGTTCAACATATTATTTAAAATAGCTGAATGCAGTCTGACTTTATATATTAACTTTTTCTCTAGTTTTCTTCTAACATATAACTAAGTCACCTGGCACCTGCCACACACCACTTTTTGAGTTTTCAACAAGTAGATTGTTGAGATTGAGCAGATTGAGGCAAATAGAAAACTTTTTTAAGAAAGTAGCCTGAAAATTTGTATCTTCTTTTATTAGTAACTAAAATAGGGGTTCAGAGCTCATTATACAGTCTGAACACCCTACTTGAGTGTCCCAAAGGTGCTTTTCCAAAAGGCAAGTGGACTTTCTTTGGTCTTCTTTTTTTTTAAAAAAAAACTCGTCCAAGAAGCTGCTTCAGTTCTAAACTGACTGGCGGGGAATGGAAGGATTTATATTTTTTGCAATCATCTGGTTGTTAGCACTCAGAGACTGCAAAGAAAGTAAATTCTTCCATTCTCCACCACTCAATCAGAAGTGAAGAAGCTTCTTAGATGAGAAGCAAAATGTTTTCAAAGAAAAAAACCAAGAAAGTCCAGTTACCTTTTGGAAAAGCACCTTTGGGATAACCATGACATGGATGATTGAGAATCTCCATGAATAGGCAACCTACTTGAGTATTTTGAGTATATAGTAGTTTATTGAACAGACTCTAGAGTCCTGTATGAAAGAAAGAAACAATGTAAATATTGTAACAAGTTACAAAAGATGTGGATGAGGTTCCAGCAACAGAAAATTTTTGAGGGTGGTTTTTTTTTTTGTTAAGTTTGATACTTTCATTGAGTAAGTAGTTCAGAACTCAAATTCTTTTCTTTGGCTATTTTACCAAAAGGAACACTTTATCATTCTCACAGCGAATGTGGCTATGGATATTGTATGTCTGCATTTGGAACAATAAATTACAATTGTTTGTACATTTATTGATAGCAAACTGCCCTTAAAATTCCTGAAATTGTCAAGACCCAATTGAACATTATTTTATTTTATTATTCATATTTCTATGCCGCCCACTCTCCGAGGACTCTGGGTGGCTTACACCAACGACAGTATACTAAATAGCATATTTCCCCCAACAATCTGGGTCTTCATTTTACCCACCTCGGAAGGATAGAAGGCTGAGTCAACCTTGAGCCGGTGAGAATGGACATTGTCCTACCTGAACGTCCCTTTTATGCTCACTACTCTGGCAATCCTACTCCTGGGTTCCTTCACTGTGATTGGTTTCGCTGACTGCCAATAATTTTGCTCTGCAGCTCCGCTTTCGCCCCCTTGTCTCTATGCTGTCAGTCTTTTCACGAAGAAACCAACAGCTGAAGACCAAGGCAACTGCATGAAGAATGACTTGACCAACACCGAAGTCTGCAGAGGGAAAGAAAGGAAGACACACCCAACCCACGGGCAGAGGGTGAACTACCAACGGGTGGGCCGGATTGCCAGAGCAGCGAGCATAAAAGGGACTTTCAAGTAGGACAACATCCATTTTCCTGACTTGCTGCTCCGGCAATCCTACTCCTGGGACATGCCCAAGCTCAATCTTTCTGGGAGGGGCCTGGAGACATCCCCTGACCATGGGAGGAAATTACTGATTGCAAAACTCGTCTGCTGAATGAAGCATCAGCAGAGGCATAAACATCTAAACGATAATGTCTAACAAAGGAAGTTATTGACAACCAGGTGGCTGCCCTGCAAATGTCATCTATGGACGCCTGGGTAGCCCAGGCCACAGATGTGGCCGCACTGCAGGTGGAATGTGGCAAAATACCACCCAGAGCAGGACTTCCCCGTAATTCATAGGCTTTGGAGATACAAGCTTTAAGCCAGCGGCCTACTGTAGCAAAGGACACTTTTTGTCCCATTGAGGACGGAAGGAAGGACACGAACAACGCTTCCGTCTTTCTAAAGGAGGCAGTACATTTGATGTAACATCTCAGTGCCCTGCGGACTTCTAAGGTATGCCATCGCTTTTCTAAGGGATGATGGGGATCCGGGCAAAAATTTGGCAACACAATTTCTTGGGCACGATGGAATCTTGAATTAATCTTAGGCACGAAAGCAGGGTCGAGCCGAAGTACCACACGGTCTGGGTAGAAAATGCAAAGATCGTTTCTAATGGAGAGCGCCGCTATTTCAGAAACCCTGCGCGCCGACGTCACCGCCAAGTGAAAGGCCATCTTCAAGGACAGGTATCGTAATGTAGCTGTACCCAGGGGTTCAAAATGGTCCGAAGTGAGAGCTTGCAAGACAAGGGTAAGATCCCATGTAGGGTAACGGTGGATGACAGGTGGATGTATGTTGACAGCACCATGCAGAAAGGACCTAATTTTTCGGTTATGAGAGAGGCTCTTGGCCATTCCCCCCCGCCCAGGACGGTAGCTAAAGCTGCCACTTGACGACGTAGCGTAGACGGCGACAGTCCTTTGGCCAGACCCGCGTGCAGAAATTGAAGAACACCCGGGACGGTCGCTGACGTAGGATCAGTGTGGTTGGAGGTGCACCACTGAGCAAAGACTCTCCAGGATGCATTGTAGATGCGTACAGTTGAAGGCCGTCTGGCCGCTTGAATGATGGAGATGACTTCGCTAGAAAGGTTATCTTTACTCAAGATGATCCTTTCAAGCGCCAGACGGTCAACTGGAGCCACTCTGGCTCTGGATGCTGGACAACCCCTTGGGATAGAGAAATCAGCTCACGAGGAATGCGCCAAGGGGGTTCGAAAGATAGGTCCATCAGGTCGGCGAACCACGGCCTTCGCGGCCAATGAGGCGCCACCAGAAGAAGATCCGCCTGCTCCGCAATCACTTTCCGGATGACGTTTGGAATTATTGGAATTGGCGGGAATGCATAGGGGAGACCCTTCGGCCACGGGGCTCGAAGGGCGTCGCAGCCTTCCACACCCGGAGTCGGGAAGCAGGTGAAGTACCTGGGCAACTGCGTGTTGTGAGGCGTTGCGAAAAGGTCGACCAGTGGAAGCCCGAACCTGGTGCAGAGGAGTTGAAACAGATGGAGATATAACTTCCATTCTGAATGATCCAAGCGTGCACGGCTGAGGTAATCCGCTTGAAGGTTGGATAAGCCAGATATTTGCTCCGCTTTCAGTGAAAGCGTATGTTTCTCTGCCCAGGACATTAAATGCTCCATCTCCTCCATTAGAGTCCTGGAGCGAGTGCCCCCTTGTCGGTTGACATGGGCCTTTGTGGCCACATTGTCCGTCAAAATGACAACATGTTTGTTGAGAACTTGGAGACGGAATTGAAGAAGCGCCAAGCAGACCACTCGTAACTCCAGCCAATTGAGACTGTGTTTCTTTTCCAGGGGAGACCAAGTGCCCTGTGCCAGGTGGGAATCCAGATGTGCACCTCACCCATAAAGGCTGGCATCCTTTATGGTAACACGGTCGGGTTCCAGGAAGACATTCCCAGCTTGAATTGCAGCTGAAAGCCACCAGCGAAGAGCCAGTCATACCCGAGGTGGCACAAACACCTTGGTCAG